CATCATGTGCCAGCAATGCCCCTCTGCCATCTACATTGGCCAAACCGGATGCAAAAGAATAAATGGACACTAATCTGACATCAGGAATCATAACATTCAAAATCCAGTAGGAGAACACTTCAAACTCTCTGGTCACTCACTAACAGACCTCAAAGTGGCAATTCTTCAACAAAAAAACTTCAAAATCAGACTCCAACGTGAAGCTGCAGAACTGGAATTAATTTGCAAACTAGATACCATCAGATTAGGCCTGAATAAAGACTGGGAGTGGTTGGGTCATTACAAAACCTAAACTTAATTTCCCCAATACTAATTTCTCCCTACTGTTACTCACACCTTCTTGTCAACTGTCTCTCTTACCACTTTAAAAGTTATTTCTCCTCCTTTGGTATCCTGCTGTTAATTGATTTATCTCGTTAGACTGACCTAACACTTGGTAAAGCAACCCACATCCTTTCATCTATTTATACCTGCTCCTGTATCTTTTACTTCATACATCTGATGAAGTGGGTTCTAGCCCATGAAAGCTTATGCCCAAATAAATTTGTTAGTCTCTAAGGTGCCACAGGGACGCCTCGTTTTTTAACCTCCCCTTTGTACAGATAACACCACTTCATACAGCAGCCAGCAGCTGGGAAAACAATGCAACTGCCACTCATATTAAAGTTACAAAATTCCCAGCAGCTTCCCAGCCTCCACATGGACCACATCCTGCTCAGCACCTTATAGCAGCAGGCCCAGATGAAGACCCAAGTTTACTTTGAAAGTCAGGGCTCTCACTCAGCACCAAACCACACTACTCTCTAACCATCAACCTACAGTACATCAGACTATCTTGTAGAAAGATTTAGATAGGCTTCGGTCAGTAAGACATCCCAAACAAAATAAATCATCTTTATGGCAATATTGCCCCCTTTAAAATATAGTACAACCCACATATCCCAATGATCCATTTGCTGGAACAAGAAGAAGCAACAAGACTTGTGATGGGGAATACAAGTCACTCTGAGGCTATGTTATAGCAATGACTGAATAAGGATTTTAGGTAGTACTGATATGTGCAAGCTTGGCTATGCTAAATAAAAAGATCCACTCCCTTTAGGGATATTGGGTTATAAATCTATTTGGACTGAAGAATAGCAGCATTTAGCATTTCGTATTAGAATGTGGACTGTTGATTAAAACAGACATACATGATGCCTCTACAGAGATCAACCAAAGAGAATTGAGTAAATTTCTCTGCTGAATTTTAATTTTGTGTTTTCTTTCTTTTGAGCCCTCTTGTTTCTAAATACACAGATCTATTTTCAGAAAATACATGGTATCAGCTCTTTCTGCTGTAGTCTCCTCTAGTTGTTATAGAAAAGGATCATCACTGCTTCAAAGTTTCCATGTTGTGGGTCAAATCTGGTCCTAATGAAGTCAATGGGAAAATTGCCATAGATTCCAATCACAGCTGGATCTTCCCTGCTAAGGACCAATCCTCAGAGTTCAGGGCCTGTCCACAAAGCTAGTGATTTCTCTGGGGATCTATGCCAGGAATGAATATGGTGCTGCATATTCATGTTTGGCGGGGATCTGGGATTAGAATACATTTGAACATGTAATTTCTTTCAGTGAAGCCAAGAACGTTGACTAAAAAGGTTGTTAAACATTCTAGTTTAGTTTAACCAAATTATGTATTTTCCTATTATTTACATGCTGTTTGTTTCCTTTTCACATAAGCTTGGCATAGACCATGAAAACAGACTAGTCCATTTCACTTTGCTGAGGGTCAGTTTCACTTTCTGGTTTTCATGGATTAAGACAATACAGCAAAGGTGAGGGTCTCAAACACTGCACAGGATATTTTTGAGTCCGACCAAAACAAAAAACAAGTTTTCCTAGAGTTATTTAGAAATAAATTTCCATGGAAACATTTGTATTACTTTTGTTAAACCCTGTTTTTTCACAGTTTAAAATTTGGGCCTAAACTGACATGACAAAGTCCTTTTTAAACAGCAACAAAATAGTGTCAATGAAAAATCCTTCAGACATACCCAGAGTTAACAAAATAGCAAACGGAGAGTTTCTCTGGCAGGGTAGTTGTGAGGCGCTTAGCATACTGGACAAGGTTGTCATGCAGGAATCGGGAATTGGTGTTGAGCAGTTCCATTTGTTTCACTGCAGCCTTTATCACATCTGGATGGCTATGGCCAACTAAACGAGAAATTATTAATAATTACTGACGTGATCAGTTACTGAATCACACAAAGAGAGTCAGGGAGCTCTCTTGAATCTAGCACTGTCAGCTTGCCTTGAAAAAAGGATCTTCTGATTTCTAGTGGGAATGACGTAAACTTAGTCAAAGGAGCTTTTGTACTTACCATGTGCAACGTTGTTGATGCAATCCAGGTATTTTTCTCCGTTCTCATCATACATATACTGCCCCTGAGCACGCACTATCTTGATAGGGTCTTTTGCAAAGAAAACTTTGCATGAAGGTCTAAAAAGTATAGAATAAAATTATTTCAGCTTGCTCAGTTGTTGCCCTGCCTCAGAATCTTGAGAGTTGATGATCTCAGGGCTCAGGAAAACAAAAACTAAATCCCATGTACTCCTGCAGTCACAGCACAGGCAAAGCTGCCACTGACTTCAAAGGCACCTTCACCATCATATGGACAGCTGCTGAAGTCCAGGGAATACGCTATTTTATATCAGTGAAGTGGCAAAGCTTGAAATATTAAAATCACAGAAGCCGTTCAGTAGATTATAGGTAAATGAGGCCATCTCTTCTATGAAGTGCCTGTGAAGCAAATATGATTTTTTTGTATACTATGTTGTAGTTTAACTGATGGCCAAGTGAGGCCTGAACCAACTCATTAAAATGAATGGAAAGGCTCCCATTGACTTCAATGGAAACAAGAGCAGGACCTTAATGAGGTTATTTTCAAACCCCTGCTTTTGTATCTACGGGCTTGAACATGGGAACGTAGAGAAAAATTAATCAAAATTAACTAAAGGAGTGATTTAAAAGTACATTAACCTCCTGTGTGGAGATATACACACTCAGAATTGCAGTGGTGAAACTTAATTAAGGCCACTTGGATTCTGAATAAAAGCGTCCACACAGGAGTTTAATATGATTTAACTCATCCAATTTAAAACATAGTTTGGATTAACATTGCTGAGTGTCCCTGCGTACAAAAGTCCTGTGTATGGTTTCCTGTGAGCACAATGGAATGTGCACCATATTGCATCCTTGGAAGTCTGGCTATGTTTGTCTGACACAGTCTTACTAATTTACACATAATATGAAAGTTTATAAAAAATTAACTCTCTGGAAATAGGATTAATTTTTAAGAAATTTTTAAAAATATATGGCCCAAAATTGATTGCACAATGGAAGACTCTGCTGAATTTGATGTCTGAGATTTATAGAGTTCATATGTTAGAACAAAATGCCAACATATGATGGGCTTAATTTTCAGAGGTGCTCAGCGCTTCTGAAAAATCAGGCTTAGGGTACTGAGATTTTCTGGGCAAAATTTTCAAAAGCGGCTAAGCCTTGTTTTCAAAAGCACCCAAATCCCACTGACTTAATGAGACTCAGGCTCCTAAAGTCACTTAGGCACGTCTGAAAATTTTCCCCTCTTTTTTCTGTTCTGAGCATGCAACACTGACACATATTCCTACTATACAGTTATATTCAGAAATATTACTGAACAGGGAGAAAACATTTAGAAACCTTTCATAGTACTTATTTAACCGAAGAGGGATGCGATTGTTTCCAAATAATAAAACTGCTTTCCTAAAAGCATCCTTATTGTCCATTTTGTCTGGTGACCTGATGCAATACAATTAATTGTATACACGGACCCTAACTGTTACTCATAAGATGTAATCTATAGTGTTTGAAATATTTTAGTGTCTGAATTTCTGCCTGATTAAGCAGTTACCTAGGGGCATCTTTCAGAGCTATTTCCCCTTTATTTACTCTTACATATCTACTGCCATAAGACAATTCAAAAGTGAAATGGAGGTAAAGCAACAGACTGAACACTATCAAATATCATTTCTTTGGTACAGTTTTTCAGTTAGTAGTTGTTTGCCTTACAGAGCCTGATCCTGCAATGTGTACTCAAGCAAGACTCCCACATCACAAGATCTGGCCCTTAGAGATGACTGGCTCTACATGCTATGATGACATTGATTTTTAAGCATATTAAAACAATTGATGGCACAATATGACTCTATACACGTAGGAGTCTAAACAAGTGAGTATTTTAGCAGTAGCACAATATTAGAAAGTCAGTGAGCATCTTTGTACTTTCATATCTAACAGTGATGAATTAGCTTTTCACTTGGCATGACCTAGTGAAATATTAATCAAGACCACATGCTCTGGAGAAAACCACATTATTTAACTTGTGGTAAATGATAAACAGGTATCGGATACATACCGTGACAAGGCTATAGTTCACATTTTCTTTCAATCCTGGCTCAGGTCACAAGAAAGAAAATAGTATTTGATGGCCTCACCCTACTTCCCATTATATCACAGTTGCACAGTCTTGACTAAGAAGAGGCTTTTAAGAGTGGCACAATAGGGAGCACTACAGAGTTGGTGTGGAAAATCTGCACCATAGCTGTCTGTGTGAGGTTACGCTCAAGACAAACCCTTTAGACCCCCCTTTTATGTGTGCTAAATTCGCCCATGAATTAACCAAACAATAGCATTTTAAAAATTTACTTTGGGCATTCTATTCTGTTTCATAGTTTTATGGTGCTCACTTTTGTGCAATCTGCCATCAAGTACAGTATATTAAATAAGTACCGGTAAGTTTTTGAGACTGCATTTGTCAGGAAGAGGCAAAGTCTTAAATATCGGAATTACAAACTAAAAAACTGACCTTCCTCTTGCTTGCTTTGTATTTCTTTCACCAGTTATCTACAATGAGGAGGTACTACCTATGTATGATGACTTAAATTTGATATCAGTAAACTCAACATTGTTTTGCCACACAAATGGAAGGTACCAAAGGAAGATGATTTACTACTTTAAGCACTAACTATGAAATGTCAAAATTCCCTGAAGCCACAGGTTACCAACAGGATGACTCAGCCCTTCATATGTCTGAGGTAGGTGAACTAAATTCTATGCAATTTCCACTATGGGTAAGAGACCTTTAAAACCAAGATCACATGCTAGGGTCTGCAGTTTCAGTGATAAACCAGTTAACTTCAGTGCAGCTACTGTGAATTTGCCTGGGTGCAAGGGAGGGCAGGCTTTGCTTGGTCTGCTCCAGCTTGAAGCTTTATGTAAGAGCAGGTGTTTACCAAATTTTCCCCTCCACATAACTATTGCAATGCACTATCTGCTGGTTGCTGCCCTCCCCACTGGTAGCTCTGTATAACTTCTGGGTTATGTAATTTTTCGAGCACCCTTGATGGTCTTTGTGAAGGTTCTATAGGATTGTAAATGATTATTATAATGGCTCCCTGGATCACAAGGCTCTCTGTGGGAAAGCAGTATTACCATGTGCTCTTAACAATATTAATAACTCTCAATTCTTTTGGTCATTTTTATAGGTCTAGTATGTATTTAAATATGCAGCCCATTCGCTGATGCCCATTCCATTTATTATACAGGGATCGTGGATTTCAGCTAGAATTGAGTCTACTTAAAACAAACTGTTAGAAAAACAACCTTAGAAGCAAAATGCTACCTATTATTCTGGCTGCAAAATTCGTTTAATTCTCTAGTCCAGCTCTCCTGGCAGAAGAAACACTTAAACTTGGGGATAAAATATTTAAAATGTAGCAACCTCTGATCCCGGCTTCTGCTCAGCTTGTGCCGAGGGGAGGAAGACAAACCTCGTTTTACGTAACCTCAGTGGAGGCTGGTTTATGTAACCGAGCGCAGGTCACGGACTGTCACACCCTGATCGCCGCTCTGCCCCCGCAGCCTCCTGTTTGTCCCGGGTTTAGCCGAGGGCAGAAGCAGCGTGTGTGCAGCGCTGGTGGAAGGGAGGGATCCCAGCAAGAGGAGGGGCCAGGCAGGAGGGATGCGCTGCGCGGAGAAGCTCAGGGGGCTGCGGGCTCAGCCGCCGGCCGGGTGGCCACAGAGGGGGCCGCTCCCGCGAGCCCCTTGCTGGGATTGTGCCCAGCTCGGTCCGCGGGGCTCGCCAGAAGCAAAGCCGGGAGCTCTGCGCCCGAGGAGGCAGCTCCCCCTGCCCCGCACCTGGGGCCACAGCTCGGCCCCCCCCTCCAGCAGCCTGGCCCGGCCCGGCCGTGCCGCGGGACCTCTCCCGCGCCCTGGCCCTGCTCACCCGATGTGCTTTCGCCTCAGCTCCAGGGTCTCCGCCTTGCTGTACAGCTCGCTCATGCCGGCGCTGCTCTCCCGCGGGGCGCTGGCCAGCTGTGCCTCTCCCGCCTCTTCTCCTGCCGCCTTGCGCTGCCCTTGTCCCAAGAGGCTGGTGATGGGGCGGGGAGCCGGTTTGTCTCATCTTCCTTTTATTCCGTCTTCTGCTCTGCCTCCTGCCAAACCCCTCCTCCTGCGCTATGCTCTGCGCGGCCCCCGCCCTGCCCAGGAGAGAGCCGGCCTCCCTCCCCTCTGGCCCAGCTCTCCTGGCCGCGCTGCTGGAAATGGGGGCGCGGGGCGCCGCACCCCCTGGCTTGGAGCGCTTTCCATCGTAAACAGCGGTGTTCAATGGTGTTCAGCCCCCCCGCCCCCCACTCTAAACATTGTTCCACCGGCCACTGCCTCCCCCTCTGGGCCACTGCTTCTCTGCTTCTCTCCTTTCACCCCATGGAGGACCTTCCTCAAGGGGGCTCAACAATTCCCTCTTCTTCACTACCTGGCTCCTCTTCACTGCCAGCGTCCGCGTTCCATGTAATAGGCCCATACAAATACTGTCCAATGTGAAGCCCTACTACTTCTACTGCTTTTCTGTTTTATCCCCTGCATGATTTACTTCTATGACTTATTTACCTGCCTCACTGGGGTGCTGTGGGGATTACTTGCCTCATGCTTATAGAGAGCTTATATTAATTTGGCATGCTAGGTTGCAGTTCTTTCCCTCCTGAGCTTTCAAAGCATTGTCCTGAAGGACAGAGTATTTTAGTTTTCTGGCCAAATTTCCTAATATTACACAGGGTTTAGCCAAAAGTGACCAATAAATAGTTTGGCTTCTGTCTGACTGAGAGGATAGGTCATTCTGCCGAATTGCTTAAACCCACAGTAGCCTAGCAGGACATATCTGAGCTATATTTTTCAATGTACTGATCGAGGGTTCATAAAAAACGTAAACAGCATAATCTTGCAAACATCTGAACTGCATTTTTACAAAACGGCTTTACTTTTACAAGGGACACTGTCCAAAATTACTTTGCAGGGGACCCTTTAAAATATACACAGGACATTTGTACATAGCACACCACCTACACATCATAAATACTTCAGTGAGCTATGAACATCATTGCCTTTATTTTGATACCCAGTGTACACCTTTTTGAAAATTCCACTTATCAAATTACTTTTGTTATGTATATCATCTTAGCTATAGATTCAATTGATGGGCAACCTAGGGTAGTTAAGTTAACCAAACCTGGAACCATAATTTAAGGGCCATAATATTTCATCTACATACTTCCTAGAATCCATCCATTATTACAGATCTAGCTGTAAGGCCAGGCAAATATATAAGGACCATCTTTGTTGTTCTGTGTTTGTACAGTGCCTAAGCACAATGGGGCCCTGATCCTTGACTGTGCTTCTGCAATCCAAATAAATCATCATCATCTAGAAAACAGAGTGCAGCCATCACTAATATTTTTGAATTCTTAAAGTGTTTTACAAACATCAGTGAATTTACCCTTATCCTTTACAACATCTTTGGGAGGCAAAGATCAGGACTTGAACTAGGTCAAATCATTATCAGCTCTATGAGCGAATATGCTTTTCTTTGCTTTGTTTGGGTGCTGTTACTCCAGAATCTAAATTTTAATTTAAAACAGCATGGCTACGCCTGCTCTTAAAACTTGACAGTGGCACAGCTGCGGAGTTGCAACTGCACTTCTGTAGCACTTCACTGTAGACACTACAGCAACCAGAGGGGTTCTCCCGTCAATGTGGTAAAACTACCTCTCTGAGAGCTGGTAGTTCGGGAGATGGAAGAATTCCGCTGTCAGCCTAGCACTGTCTACATGGGAACTCAGGTCAGCTTAACTACGTTTCTCAGGGGTGTGGATTTTTCACACATCTGAGTGACATAGCTGGGTCAATCTAGTTTGCTAGAGAAAACCAGCCCTAAGTCTCACTCTCTAGCTGTTATAGTGATAGAAAAAACTTTCAAAACCTAAGGTGTAACTGATGCAGTGATGTCTCCCGAAGGGCTTGTCCACACTGGAAACTTATATCGGCGCAGCTACAGCTCTTGGCATGTGAAAAATCCAATCCCCTGAAAGATGTACCTATCCCAGGTGTAGACAGCTCTAGGTCAACAGAAGAATTCTTCCGTTGACCTAGCTACCACCTTTCAGGGAGGTGAATTACCTACACCGAGGGGACAGCACACATCGGTAGCGTGTACGCTAAGTGGTATAGCAGTGCAGCAGCAGCTGTGTGGCTGTAGTGGTTTAAGTGTAGACATACCTAGGTAAGCAGGATTCCTGAAATGATAATTCTGAAGTGTACTAACATTTGTCAGCAGACAAATTCCTTACTACTCCCTGCATCAGCTTGAGTAGCTGCTCTTCATCTCCATATTCGAGGGTCCTGGCCCTTGTAGGAGAGACATCAGAGACTATGCAACCTCACAAACAGGTGAGGTTGTTGCCAATCTGTGGGTCAGTGGATACATGGAGATACGGGAATTCACCCAAATAGAGGAAGAGAGACTGGGCCCCACGTACATTTGCATAGGGCCTTGCTGCATGCCTGGATGCTGTGTTAAGTCTGAACCTGGCTTAGGTCTTGATCCAAGCCAATTTGTACTGCCTTTTTCTCTTGCCTCCTTTTCTAAAAGCTGCAAAACAATGATGTGACAGACAAAATTCAGGACATGCACATTTTATACTGACCTAGTTACAATCCCTTTATTAAACTAATATAAACTAGAGACAGCCCAGCCCAGACATTGTTTCCCTGCTTTATCATGAAAATTAGTGTGAAGGAATCTGAAAGGACGATGTAAGGGCATTTAAGGACAAGCCACTTTCCTTCACTGTCTGCATCTGCCCTCTGTTGGTAGGAAAAGTACGTTAATCTCTGTCCATTAGAATTGTGCAATGAGTTTCGCAAAATACCAATGGTGAGAGAGGGAAGATTATCATAGAAATTCCATTTGGTATGGGAACAATAAGCTCCCGCAGCAAAGGGCAGGTATAAACTAGAAATAGATTGTTAGAGAACAGCTTGAAAGAGGCCTTTACATGGCCAAGCAGGGGCAGAAAGGCAATCAAAAAGCCTCCCAAGGCCCACTGGCTCATAGTCTTTGCATTCCTTCTTCCAGAATCAATGCACTCGAGAGAGTAATCTGCTCCTAATAGATGGAACAAATTATGCGTATCTCCCTTGCATTAACGCAGCTCCAGAAAGCTTGTGGTTCAGGCAGGCACAATCTCTCCAGTGCGCTTGTTGGGATGGTGGGCTCTGCATTCCTCCACCATCTCCATAGGGATGCGATATAAATGCCATAAACTAGCCCCTAGTGATTCAGTGGATTGATAAGAGTTTTAAAAAATTAACCAGATATGCTCCATTTTGGCACACTTTTTTCATCAATATCTTTGTTTTTTCTTCATTCATTTTTCAAGGAATATGCAAAAACAAATTATCACAATGTGATGAGAAAGACATTTGAATAAATATTACTGTTGTTACTACTGACTTCAGGAGAGAAACAAATGCAAACATACAAGTCCATTCCATACCAAAAGTCAGAGCCCAGCTATGGGAAAGCATCAAAGTAAGGATGAGCTCTCACCACGATGCATGACATAACTGTGACCCTGTAGTAGTTTCTGAGTGCCACAAGATATGAAAACAGTAACTAGCCAAGCAGAGTTCACCAGACCTAAGGAAATAATTGGTTAGGGTTTGTCTACACATGGAATTATTCCAGACCAGATTAGCTCTTCCCATCCACGTATAAATTCTTATTCTGGAATAGTTAATCTCATACCTTATTTTATTCCAGAACAGCTCTCCTGTGTAGACAAGCCCTTATAAAATATATTAGGTAAATAATAGACCATATATATCCTAAATGGAGGAGGAGCTGGGTGGTGAGGAAGCCCAGATGAGAAGGGAGTACTAGGAGAAAGAACTCTGTAGTCTGGCTGTTAGAGAATGGAGGAAATAATGGACCATATATATCCTAAATGACTTAAAGCCTCATGGCCATCAGGCCTGGCACTAAAAGGGTTAACTGGAAATGGAGACCCCAGTTAAGGCATCTGGGGGGTGGCCCAGGCACAAATGTAGATGAAGCCCAGCTGGGTAGTGAAGAAGCCCAGATGAGAAGGGAGTACTAGGAGAAAGAACTCTGTAGGCTGGCTGCCAGAGAATGGTGGAAAGGCCTAGAGAGTGAGGCAGATATACAGTAAGCTCGGAGAGGGGCTGTTGAAAAGGAAGGAAGGCCAAGGTAAGAAGAAATGCAGAGAGGCAATGAGCAGTCTGAGGTAGCAGACCTTAGGTGCTCATCACAGGGTCCCTGTACTGGAACCCAGAAGAGAAGGAGGGACTGAGCTCCCCTGCTAGCTGCTGGGAAAGGTGATGTGGAAACTGTTACCTCTGTTCCCCTAAAAAAACAACTCAGGGTCACACTTGTATTAATTTTATTACAATGCCACTGTTAGGTCAGACAGAAAAGGGAAGGAGCTTATTTACACACCACATTCATATTCACATTCACCGCATTCATACCCCCATGTACCCACACACTTACACAAGAGGAGGGTTACCGAAGACAGCATGGGAAGAAGCCAAGAAGCTAAAGCGTGGTAGATTTGGTGTGTCCACCTGCGGTCACGGATCTGGGATAGTGAGCAGGTCAAGGAGCAGCAGCTTGTGTGCATGGCTGTTTCCTTTTATTTTGGAGCTGGGCGCTCCTGTCATGTACACTGAGTTTTTCTTCTGTGTCCGTCACCAAGAAGCAGTCCCAGTCCCTGTTCCTTTCATGCGTCTTTTCTTTACAGCACTCCGTGATTGCCTTCTCAGGGCAGATTATATCAGACACACCTGGCTCCTGGCTCTGGGCTCTTTTCTCCTGGCAGTTCCTCTCCGCCCAGTCCCCCATACACTCCCTCGTTCACACCTCCTTATCTTCCGCACACACACTCCCTTGTTCACACTCTCTCTCTGATCGCGTGATGGAATATTACAAAGCTTGGCAGTTCATACAAGTGGTAACTTGAAAAGGTTACAGAGCTTGCAAAGGTTACAAAACTTAAAAGGCTATGCTAACAGTAACTGAACTTACAAAGTCTGCAACAAGGTTGCAGAACTTAATGATACAAGGTTGCAGAACTTAATGATACAAGTTACAGATCTTACAATCGCATTTGAGTGGAGGCTTCACATAACAGAAACACCCTGACATGATGGGGAGAAGGACTACTGAGTTTGAAACTGGGCATCCAGGGAGGAAGCCCAGGGAGGTCTTGTTCTGCACAAAAGTGGAAGGACAACCCTGCAGAGCCTCAGAAGGGGCATCCAATGAAGTGAGCTGTAGCTCACGAAAGCTTATGCTCAAATAAATTTGTTAGTCTCTAAGGTGTCACAAGTCCTCCTTTTCTTTTTTCAGAAGGGGTGGTTTCAGAGTAGCAGCAGTGTTAGTCTGTATCCACAAAAAGAACAGGAGGACTTGTGGCACCTTAGAGACTAACAAATTTATTAGAGCATAAGCTTTCGTGGGCTACAGCTCACTTCGTCAGATGCATAGAATGGAACATATAGGAAGAAGATATCTATCTATCTATCTATCTATACACACACATACAGAGGAGGTGGAAGTTGCCATACAAACTGTAAGAGGCTAATTAGTTAAGGTGAGCTATTATCAGCAGGAGAAAAAAACTTTTGTAGTGATAATCAAGATGGCCCATTTAGACAGTTGACAAGAATGTGTGAGGATATTTAACTTAGGGAAATAGATTCAATATGTGTAATGACCCAGCCACTCCCAGTCTCTATTCAAACCCAAGTTAATGGTATCTAGTTTGCATATTAATTCAAGCTCAGCAGTTTCTCTTTGGAGTCTGTTTTTGAAGCTTTTTTGTTGCAAAATTGCCACCCTTAAATCTTTTACTGAGTGGCCACAGAGGTTGAAGTGTTCTCCTACTGTTTTTTGAATGTTATGATTCCTGATGTCAGATTTGTGTCCATTTATTCTTTTGCACAGAGACTATTCGGTTTGGCCAATGTAGATGGCAGAGGGGCATTGCTGGCACATGATGGCATATATCACATTGGTAGATGTGCAGGTGAACGAGCCCCGGATGGTGTGGCTGATGTGGTTAGGTCCTATGATTGTGTCCCTTGAATAGATATGTGGACAGAGTTGGCACCAGGGTTTGTAGCTGGGTTTGGTCCCTGGGATGGTGTTTTTGTTGTGTGGTGTGTAGTTGCTGGTGAGTATTTGCTTCAGTATTTGCAGGTTGGGGGCTGCTGTAAGCGTGGACTGGTCTGTCTCCCAAGATCTGTGAGAGTGAGGGACAGTCTCTAAGCAAAAGAATAAATGGACACAAATCTGACATGAAGCTTATGCTCTAATAAATTTGTTAGTCTCTAGGGTGCCACAAGTACTCCTGTTCTTTTTTAGAAGGGGTGAAGAGTCTGCAGAGGATCCAGCCTAGGAAGGAGTGAAGAGGTATGTTAATTTGAATGTAATGTATTGTACTTCTTGTTTACCTTGGAAAGGGTGGAACTAAAGGTCACCTGGCTGGGGGGTGGAATCATGAAAAGAGGCAGACCACTGCCATGGCCAGAGTGGCTGTTTTCAGAGAGTGCTGGAGGAAAGTGCTGTTATAACAATAAATCTCGCTATGAGGGGGTGTGCCAGGAGTGAGTCAACTCCTTCACACCTAGAAAAGGTTGAGGTTTACTTAGGGCCTTTTCTATATGGGAAGTTTATGGTTTAATTTAAATCCATTTTTAAATCAATTTAGTCAAAGCAGTGCAAATCCTTGTGTGGACACTCTTTTTCCAGTTTAAGAGGCTTATTTAGGGTTATCTTAAACCTGCTCCCAATTGACTTTCCCTATACTGTATAAATCCCCTCTTAACTGGAAATAAGTGTCCACAGAGAGGTTTGTAGTGGTTTAAAAACTGATTTAAATTAAACTGATGCAATTTCTTCACAAAAACAAGCCCTAGGGTTGGTGTGTGACCTTAAGTATGGTCCATGCTTTTACAAGCTTGCAAGCCTATTCTCAATCAGATAATCTGGGCTCATTTGAGACATCAAATTGTACCCCTCCAGCAAGGCTGGTTGTGTGTGGAGGGTCCATGTCCCAAACCTGGAGAGAGTCAGGATTGGAGAGCAGCTTTAGTTTCTATAAGGGGTTGTTTAGGATCTCTGTCAGCATAGGCTTCTGAGGAAATGTGCTGGATGAGTTCACCCCAGGAAGTACTGACCATATCCCTGCTCTGACCAATGCTTTTCCGGCAACACTTCACACAATGGCAAGGACATCGGGTGAGACTTCTCTCCAGCAGATGTGCTGCCTTTCTTGTTTGTAAATCACACAGGAGGTGTTGGTGCAGACACACATTCAAGGAAAATGAAAATCCTGGTGCCAGAGCCTGACAACATCTAGTGAATCAGAGAAAGATCTTTGAAGATCTGCCGAAAGCAGAACCATTTAGTGGAGATGATAGTGCCCCATCCAACAGCATGTGCTTGTTTGGGTATCTTTGCATTTACTAGAACTGGACAACAGCCATAGATGGGCAAAAAGGAGAAGGTGCCAGAGAAAGGTAAAGAAACACGCAGCAGTTTTGTGGGAGTGCTGCACAGCAATGGAGAGATGGAAATTTGCAAGGGCACAGATGAAACATTATCATTATTTGCGGGGAACGTGTGCTACAATGTTCTGACCAACATTATTAAAATGTTGTATGGTCTTGCAGTGTACTGGAGCCAAACAATTTTGCCCATGTTCCTGAACTGTGCTATACCGGTGCCGAAGATTAATAGATACTAAGGTCAGAAGGGACCATTATGAGCATCTAGTCTGACCTCCTGCACAATGCAGGCCACAGAATCTCACCCACCCATCCTTGTGAAAAACCTCTCACCTATGTCTGAGCTATTGAAGTCCTCAAATCGTGGTTTAAAGACTTCAAGGAGCAGAGAATCCTCCAGCAAGTGACCCGTGCCCCATGCTACAGAGGAAGGCGAAAAACCTCCAGGGCCTCTTCCAATCTGCCGTGGAGGAATGAGCTAAATCATCGGCCCCCTTAAGCAATGGTAAAAATCTCATTTTTGAGGCAAGGCAATACCAAACCATAGCTTATCTGTAGTATTGAAGCACCACTGTTTATTATTTGTTTATGGTAGCATCTAGTATGTGGTAGGAACAAAAGGAGTACTTGTGGCACCTTAGAGACTAACCAATTTTTTTGAGCATAAGCTTTCATGAGCTACAGCTCACTTCATCGGATGCATACCCTGGATTTGTGCTGGAAATGGCCCACCTGTTGATCACTTTAGATAAGCTATTACCAGCAGGACAGTGGGGTGGGAGGAGGTATTGTTTCATATTCTCTGTGTGTATATAAAGTCTGCTGCAGTTTCCACGGTATACATCTGATGAAGTGAGCTGTAGCTCACGAAAGCTCATGCTCAAATAAATTGGTTAGTCTCTAAGGTGCCACAAGTACTCCTTTTCTTTTTACTGTGGAAAGTGTAGAAGATCTTTTTATATACACACAAAGCATGAAAAAATACCTCCTCCCACCCCACTCTCCTTCTGGTAATAGCTTATCTAAAGTGATCACTCTCCTTACAATGTGTATGATAATCAAGTTGGGCCATTTCCAGCACAAATCCAGGTTTTCTCACACACCCCCCCCCCCCACACACAAACCCACTCTCCTGCTGGTAATAGACTCCAGACTCCAGCGAGAAACTGTTGAATTGGAATTCATTTGCAAATTGGACACAATTAACTTAGGCTTGAATAGAGACTGGGAGTGGCTAAGTCATTATGCAAGGTAACCTATTTCCTCTTGTTTTTTCCCACCCCCCCCTCCCCCCAGACGTTCTTGTTAAACCCTGGATTTGTGCTGGAAATGGCCCACCTTGATTATCATACACATTGTAAGGAGAGTGGTCACTTTAGATAAGCTATTACCAGAAGGAGAGTGGGGTGGGAGGAGGTATTTTTTCATGCTTTGTGTGTATATAAAAAGATCTTCTACACTTTCCACAGTATGCATCCGATGAAGTGAGCTGTAGCTCAAGAAAGCTTATGCTCAAATAAATTGGTTAGTCTCTAAGCCCTGGTCTACACTAGGACTTTAGGTCGAATTTAGCAGCGTTAAATCGATGTAAACTTGCACCCGTCCACACGATGAAGCCCTTTATTTCGACTTAAAGGGCTCTTAAAATCGATTTCCATACTCCACCCCTGACAAGTGGATTAGCACTTAAATCGGCCTTGCCGGGTCAAATTTGGGGTACTGTGGATGGTATTGGCCTCCGGGAGCTATCCCAGAGTGCTCTATTGTGACCACTCTGGACAGCACTCTCAACTCAGATGCACTGGCCAGGTAGACAGGAAAAGAACTGCGAACTTTTGAATCTCATTTCCTGTTTGGCCAGCGTGACAAGCTGCAGGTGACCATGCAGAGCTCATCAGCAGAGGTGACCATGATGGAGTCCCAGAATCGCAAAAGAGCTACAGCATGGACTGAACGGGAGGTACAGGATCTGATCGCTGTATGGGGAGAGGAATCCGTGCTATCAGAACTCCGTTCCAGTTTTCAAAATGCCAAAACCTTTGTCAAAATCTCCCAGGGCATGAAGGACAGAGGCCATAACAGGGATCCGAAGCAGTGTCGTGTGAAACTTAAGGAGCTGAGGCAAGCCTACCAGAAAACCAGAGGGGCGAACGGCCGCTCCGGGTCAGAGCCCCAAACATGCCGCTTCTATGATGAGCTGCATGCCATTTTAGGGGGTTCAGCCACCACTACCCCAGCCGTGTTGTTTGACTCCTTCAATGGAGATGGAGGCAACACAGAAGCAGGTTTTGGGGATGAAGAAGATGATGATGATGATGATGAGGTTGTAGATAGCTCACAGCAAGCAAGCGGAGAAAACAGTTTTCCCGACAGCCAGGAACTGTTTCTCACCCTGGACCTGGAGCCAGTACCCCCCGAACCCACCCAAGGCTGCCTCCTGGACCCGGCAGGTGGAGAAGGGACCTCTGGTGAGTGTACCTTTTAAAATACTATACATGGTTTAAAAGCAAGCATGTGAAAGGATTAATTTGCCCTGGCATTCGCGGCTCTCCTGGATGTACTCCCAAAGCCTTTGCAAAAGGTTTCTGGGGAGGGCAGCCTTATTGCGTCCTTCATGGTAGGACACTTTACCACTCCAGGCCAGTAACATGTACTCGGGAATCATTGTACAACAAAGCATTGTAGTGTATGTTTGCTGGCATTCAAACAACATCCGTTCTTTATCTCTCTGTGTTATCCTCAGGAGAGGGAGATATCATTCATGGTCTTTTGGTTGAAATAGGGTGCTTTTCTTCAGGGGACATTCAGAGGAGCCCATTCCTGCTGAGCTGTTTGCCTGCGGCTGAACAGAAATGTTCCCCGCTGTTAACCACGGGGAGGGGGGAGGGTTGTGGGGGTAGCCACGCGGTGGAGGGAGGCAAAATGCGACCTTGTAATGAAAGCACATGTGCTATGTATGTAATGTTAACAGCAAGGTTTACCCTGAAAGACTGTAGCCACTGTTTTATAAAATGTGTCTTTTTAAATACCGAAAAAAACTGTCCCCTTTTTTTTCCTCCACCAGCTGCATGTGTTTCAATGATCACAGGATTTTCTCCTTCCTAGAGGCTAGTGAAGATTAGAAAGAAAAAAAAAATGCACTCGTGATTAAATGTTCTCTCAGCTCATGCTGTCCTTCCACACTGACAGAACACAGACGAATGCGTGGAGGCAAATAATGTCAGAGTGCAGGAAAGCACAAAATGACCGGGAGGAGAGGTGGTGGGCTGAAGAGAGTAAGTGGCGGGCTGAAGACAGGGCTGAAGCTCAAATGTGGCGGCAGCGTGATGAGAGGAGGCAGGATTCAATGCTGAGGCTGCTGGAGTACCAAACCAGTATGCTCCAGTGTATGGTTGAGCTGCAGCAAAGGCAGCTGGAGCACAGACTGCCACTACAGCCCCTGTGTAACCAACTGCCCTCCTCCCCAGGTTCCATAGCCTCCACACCCAGAAGCCCAAGAACGTGGTGGGGGGGCTACCGGCCAACCAGCCACTCCGCCACAGAGGATTGCCCAAAAAAAAGAAGGCTGGCATTCAATAAATTTTAAAGTTGTAAACTTTTAAAGTGCTGTGTGGCATTTTCCTTCCCTCCTCCACCACCCTCCTGGGCTACCTTGGTAGTCGTCCCCCTATTTGTGTGATGAATGAATAAAGAATGCATGAATGTGAAGCAACAATGACTTTATTAAGCTTTAACAATGACTTTAAGCAAGCAATGATTAAAGGGAGGAGGGGAGGATGTTTAGCTTGCAGGGAAGTAGAGTGAACCAGGGGGTGGGGGGTTTCATCAAGGAGAAACAAAGAGAACTTTCACACCGTAGCCTGGCCAGTCATGAAACTAGTTTTCAAAGCTTTTCTGATGCGT